TGGATTTGTGCATGAAACATAAGAATTTCATGCTAACCTAATTACTTCGGCAAAACATAATTGCATTTTAACCCTTGTCTCTTTTTAATTTTTTTTCCCCTCTGAAGGTGCAAATGGTGATTAGGAACTTAATGTCATCATTGTCTTCTTCTCCCATCTCACCTGAAAATTTCAGAGTCTACTTGATCCTGCCTTTCCTTCTAACGAAGAAGGATGAATTCTCTGTGCCTTCTCTGATTGTTCTGGCTGAAGCCATCATGAAGCTCCAGCCAGAAGGCCTGCAAACTCTTGGTAGGGTTTTATGATGGTAGAACTGAATGATTTAAATGCTTGGTCATTTTCTGCTGCAGAAAAAGTGTTATTATCCCTGATGTAATGTGTTCCAGAGCTTGAAATAATTGCTTTTGATAGACATAGAAACATGGGAATTATGCAGCAAGGAATTTTAAAAATTCTGTCCAAGTTTTAATAGTTTTAAATAGTTTTAATAGTTTTAAAAGTGCAAGCTTAAACTTTTTTCTTTTTGTTTAATTCATTTGATAAAAAGAGAAAAAGCAGCTTCATCCACAAATTGCAGTGATATGTATGTTACCTGTGACCTCACTAGCTGTTTTCTTTACAGAATGTCTATGGTCAAATCTAGAAACATCCTTTTTCAAGGAGCTGGTCATTCTGTATCAGTGGGCTTCCCAGGAAGTTCTGTTCTCATTTGACCAGGAGTTCAAAGCCACGGGGCCAAGCTGCCTCTTCAACCTGAACCCGGTTGAAACTGGGCCTCTGCAAATACTGCAGATGCTTTACCAGGTGAGAAGGTGCTTGGATCCCAATTAGACAGGGTGCCTCAATGTAGCCTAGAGTATTTTAATACTTCTCACTTGTTGAATTCTCTGGGTTTGACACTGCTTCAGCAATCTCTTTGGCTCTACACCAGCACAGTTTTGAAGAAGTCCTGCTCGAGTTGTGCCAAACTGACCCTCTGTAGAAATGAAGAGCTGAAGCATGTTATAGCCCTGGCAGGGGGAAGAATGCTTTCAGTGGTGTCAGGAGTGCATCCATGGATGCCTACACAGTTATGGATGTGGTGTCCTCTACGCAACATGCTCATTCCCCTTTCTGCTGGCGAGATCCCTCACCCCAGTAACTGCTCAGAGCATTTAAAAGACAACCTATCCGCTTGGCACATTGTGGCTGTCACAGACATGCTCTGTCATGCTTTAAGAGCTCATTAACCTGACAAATTCTCTGGGACAACAGCATTAGAACATCTTTAGCTGTACATGAACAAGGGAAACAAAGGAAGCCATAACTGTGTTCTTCTGGACAACCATACTTTCCCTCCACATTCCTGTGGAGATATTCAAAGTATATGGAAGTTGAGAGCTTGAGCACACAGTATAAATCAGAGAGACTTGTTAAATTTTGTTCAGACTTGAATATCCTTTTGGCTGAGAATGAGAATTTGGCCTCAAAGTTTAGACTGTCAATTTTGTATTTATGCAGATAAATAAACTAAAAAATGCAGCAGGCCCACTCCTCTGTAAGTGATTACATTATTTGGAGTTTTAACTGTTCACTGTCCCCCTGCAAGCATCTTTTCCAGGCAACAAGCAGGAACATGAATAGGGAACTGCACAAACATGAAAGACACTCCAAGGGAAATACACTTTTTCTGATGGAGTCCTGCTAAGGGATTGTAATTGTAGATGAAAATCGCTTTCCTGCTAGTTTATACATGGCTTTCTAAGACTTCTCACTGTGGACCACTGTGCTTCTTGAGCACTTTTATCCTGTAACTTCTGTGCAGGGTCTCAGAACCCTTTCTGAAGAAAGCCGTCAGTCCTGTTGTGCCTGTCCTGCCAGACAGACACAGCTCACTAGTTCTGCTGCTGATATACTGCATGTTTCAATGCAGGTGAACTCCAGAACTGGTTTTGGAGTACATGAAAGCATCTTCCATGTACATGTGGTGCGAGAGATTATCAACATATGTTCACTCTTCAATGTAGTAGTAAGTATAAATCTTACCAGCAATGCAAAACACTCTTTTTTCTTTTACTTAAATAGTTTATATATATATATATATGTATATGGAAGTCAACTCTAGAGACTAACCCAGCACATCTCAAAGGCATTTCATTTTCCCTAGTTCTCCAAAGCTCTAAATTATGCAAGCCCTTTACCATCCCAGTGTTCCAGCAGCTACAATAGAGCTTTTCCTGAGATGGTCCCTGGTTCTGAGAGTTGGAGCTGCCCTCTAGCATCTTAAGCAGCTCTGTTTGCCTTGCACTAGTAATCACTGTGAAATAGAAGCACGAGGGATGGTTGCTATACTTTGTGTTACTCTGGATTTTATTATGTTTAATTAAGAGAAGTCTTTTGAGGTGTCTTTAAACTTTTATTTAGAAATCCTGTTGAGCATTTCAATGTACTTACATCTTAAAACAAAGCCATGATAATAAAAAATAATCTGTGGCATTTCGTGACACAGAATGAGAATTAGCTACCAAATGCAGTCAGTGTCAGAGGAAGCAGTATGAAATGGAAATGTGCATAGTAAGGGTTTACTTTGGCAAAAAAACCTTTCACGCTACTTGGCTGGAATTTGTAGAGCAAATGCCTAATTCCTTCATAAGCTTTTGTTTGCTAATGTACCAATTTTGTACCTTTTAACCAGGGTGGAGGAGGAGGTTTGAGCATAGAATCAAAAGCCAGTTAGGATGTTACCTGAAGTTGGTGCCTTATCACACTGGAGGTGTAACACTTTAAATTAGATTATTTTTACACTAGTATCTATTTTTGGTATTACATATAATAAACCCAGCAGTTTTTAAAAACAATATACCATAATCTCAGTATCCAGGACATTTTGGTTTAGCTGTATTATGGAAGATGCTGTTAAAATTTCTCTCTCTGTTTCATTCTAGAGGCACTACTGTAGACAAGTGTCTGTCTGTACAGAGAGGTTAGGTACCTCTCTCTGCTTCACACTCACAGGAGTGTGTAGGAGCTGTTTTTAGGATGTGAACCTCTGTTAGTGCAGTGCTCATGCACACAAGGGCTAATTTCAGAGACACAGAAGTTTGCCAGGGTACAAACTGGCAGTTCAGTTTGCAGACATGTCCCTGAACTCTGGTTTCACAAGGGAAAATCAGCATGTCTTTTCCTTCCTTCCTTGTCCTTTCAGGCAGTCCTACAGCAGCTGAGCAAGTACCCATGCATCTTTGACAGGGAAAACAAGATACACCTTCATATTACAGAATGCAAGGCTCTGGCCAAAGTCTTTACTGTAAGTGCAACCAATTTTGTTACCAATCAGAAGAGATAAATACACTGCTAACACTGCTAACAGACTATTACTTCAATCCTTGGATGCCCCTTATCCAGATACCCTTTATAGGGACCCCTGAGGAATGGAATTTTTGCGTCAGAAGACAATACCTTCTCCAAGACATGTGGAAAAATTTAAAATCTGCCTCAAACCAAGATTTCAGGAAGAAGTTAAAGGTAAGATACTAAATTGTATTACTTGTTAGCTCTAAGTATCTTGCTGCAGTGTTCCTTGATTTCCAGTGTTACTGCATATTGGTACAAAGGTTTCAGTATCTTCTGAGCATACAGCGAAAGAACTGCTCCTCAAATTATTATAAAACATGTTCCACAGATGGTGTAGAGTAAATCTGGAGGTAGTATTTTACATCCTTATTCCATGCAGCTTTGTTGGCATAAGTTAAGTGCAAGTGGCAGTGAGGTTGCTTTGGGGTAATGGAATAGAATTGCCCAGTTGTCAAAGTCCAGTCCTGTTGCTGCTAGACTGACTTTTGAGACTTCCTACTAGCACATTAAAACCCCAGCGTCTGGGGAACCAGCCAGAGGGGACAGTAAGCAACACAGCCACGAAGTTACATTTCTCTCATGGTGATGCTGTCTGAAGGGAAAGGAAGGATAGTGCTGCCAGAGAGATGAGCATCTGATTACAATGCTGCTGTCTCCACGTGCTTTAATCTGTGGCTTCCACACAGATCCGAAGGTTGTGGCAGTTGCGTTTCCCGCAGGAATGGCGATGCTGGCCCTGCCCTGCAGAACCATCAGCTGCCTGACATGGGAGCAGGACCTGCCCAGAGCAGAGTTCAGCTCAGGGACCACGTGCCCCACCTGTCACCAACACAAAGTCTGGCACCACACCTGTGCCACAGGAACTTGGTGCCCTGATGCTTTCCAAGTGAGCTTTCTTGCCAGCCACAGCTGTCAAAGCTTTTCTTTCCCATTTACTTAGGAGAAGATTCACAATGGCTCCCAGAGCTACCTTTCCTTCCTGGTTCCTCACTGCACCTCACTATTTGAGAGAGGCATTTATTTACAGAGGCAGTGAGCGTGTGCTCTGTACTGTTCTCTAGATTTCAAGTCTCCACCTATTGTACAAGCTTTGACAAACAGCTGCTCTTAGCTCAAGTCAGCCTTTGGGCACACCTCTTGTGAGCACTGCCTTTCACATTGTGCATCACAATATTATTTACCTAGCAGCAGCATGAAAAATGTAACTGCACTGTTAGTATCCCACAGCACTTACAGCCTGGTGCAGCATTTACAACTTGGTGCTTCATTTCTGCATTTTTCAGCAGGTAAAGGACACAAAGGTGTTTTGTATTGCGAATACAAACTACCCAAAAGCAAAACATAAAAAAGAAACCTTCACTGTAGCATTGACCTGCCCCCTTCATAGCTGTGTCCTGTTAAAAAGTTTTTAAGACAATACTGAGAACTTGGCCTGTGGCACTCTCATCATGGCCAAAAAGAAAAGATCTGCAGGTACTGCACATACAGACATGGGTATCATCCAAGAAAGAAATGTCTTAATTTGACTCATCTCAAGTCTTCTAATTAAACACCAGCCTGATTTATTTTAATTTTTGCTCTTCTGACGGTAAGACAAACATATTTCAGTACACACATCTGGCTAAAAACCCCCAAAGCTCTCAAAGAGAGATTCATATCACTGCATGTTTTAATTTTAATTTCGTTTATTCGGTCAGGGTACAGTTCTTCCTCATGAAAACTAAGGTTCTAATTAGTGTCACTACAAATGCACAGCACTCTTAATAGGATAAAACAGAGGGAATTAGGGAATTAGTGCTTCTTATTACTCCTACTCTTCATCTGCATTAGCAGTAGTTAACAGTGGGCTGCTGCTTCATACAGTTCCAGATCCTACCAGGAAAATTATGCCAGTCACAAGTGCCAGAAGGAAACTCTCTCAAATGAACTGCAATACTTGATGAGATTAAACAAATTATGTTGATTTAGAGAAGCCCAGGGGTTAGCAAAGGCATTGCACTAGTTATGCCTAAAAAGCTTAATCCCCATCCAGGTCCACAGGTGAAAGAACACATAAACTGGTACTGTAACAGGAAGGAGCAGGCTGTAGAAACACAGGCTGGCTGTGCTGGTGCAGCCCTGGGGGAAGTTTTCGTCTACGCTGGCCGAGTAGAACAGGCCTGCCAGGGACAGGAGGGGAACGAGCACAGTCAGCGTGGGCAGGGAGGGCAGCAGCCCTGCTCCGGCCATCAGGCCCCGTTACCGCCGTGCCCGGCGGCTCCTCACGGCTGCTCCGAGCCCTCGGCCGGCGGCTTCTGGTGCGTCCTCCTGGCAGCCTCCGGAACCATGTTCGGGATGCCGTCGATGATGGGGTACGCGATGCCCAGCTCCTCGTTAATGAGCTCGTTCGTAGCTAGCATAATGATGTGAAGTCAGGATTTTTTTTTTTTTTTTTTTGGGGGGGGGGGGGGGGGGGAGAGAAAAATCCAAGGGAAAACATGAGGAGCAGGAACTAACCTGAGTTTGCCCGGGGCTGGGGCGCAGCTCCCCCGCCCCATCCTCACCTCAGCGGCCGCTTGGAGAGCGGGCACACCAGGAAGCGCAGCAATGATGGCTCCAGGGGCTGCGGCCGCGCTGAGCCGGAGCCCGAGTCTGAGCCGGAGCCCGAGCTCGAACCCGAGCTCTGCTCCCGCTCCTGCTGTGGAGCACGATGGCAGTGCCGGCCGGGCCCGGGGCCGGACAGGGCCGCACGCCGCAGCAGCAGCAGCAGGGCCGGGCCGCGCAGCATGGCCGCCGCTTCCGCCGCCCACGGCCCCGCCCCGCTCCGCCTCAGCGCGCCGCCGGGCTCCGTGGGTGCTCCGCAACGTAAAATGGATCAAGGTTGTCTTAAGTCAAGATGGTTTTCGGTGTAAGATCTTTGTACACTTTCAAGCTTAATAAGGAAAAAAGGAGATCTAGTCAGTGGAACAGGCAGCAGCCAGCGTTCCCTAGCCAAGGACATCCGGGAATGAAAAGCCTTAAGGATGCAGTAAATCAGGATGTTGATGTATGTCTGTGTATACATTGCTAACTTGGCAAAATACTCAAGGTCCACGTAGGCTGTAGCTGAACTGTGTTCATTATAATAGTTAAAATCGTGCCCACAGGGCAAAGGGAGCCCTGCCCAGCTGAAGACCCTTCCCCTGAGGGTGTGTGGAAGTCAGCTGGGGCTGTGTAACTTGTTTGGAAATTAATAACCAAGCACAACAGACTCGGACAGTTACTAACTCTGAATTTCTGTGTACAAATAATGGCTCCAAAAGTCTGGTGGGGTTTGATTTGTGGATTACCACCAAGTACACCAGTTGGCACAACCGTGAGATAAATAATCAGCATCTCTCTCTTGGGTGTGTAATTACTGGCTTGTTGCACACCAGGTAAGGAATCTGATTTTGTGAGCAACATGGATGTCTCTATCTATGGCTGTCTCTGGCCTTGCAGGTGTCTTTTGTGGATGAGCTGGGGGTGGACCAAGGTGCAGTGTCCCAGGAGCTCTTCAGCATTGCAGCCAGGACCCTCTGCCAGCCCAGCACCAACATCTTCTGCCACTCCCCCTCCGGCCTCGTGTGGTTCCCCAGACAGGTAAGGCAGCCCTGCAGGGATGGATGGGGGCCCCACCCATGGGAAAAGGCACTCATGGCTTGTTCCTAACCAGGTGTGCTTGTTCCTAACCAGGCCCCAAGCTGTAAGGATGAGGACATCTTTCTCTTGATCGGGACACTATGTGGAATGGCCCTGTTTAACCAGCGCACGGTGCCCTTCCCCTTCCCCAGGGCTCTCTACAAAAAGCTGCTGGACGTGGCCCCCACCCTAGAGGACCTTGAGGATCTGCTGCCAACCGTGGGCCGGTATGAGCCAGGCATGGCCCAAGCTTCAGCTGGGTCCCTTGCCTTGGCCATGCACTGGGAGATCCCAGAGGCTGAATTTGGGGCACGCATGGCATCTACATTCGCCTTTGTGAAGCTGCTAGAAGCCACAGATTTCCAAGGATGTCCTTGTCCAGGGCATGGATGTTGCTCTCAGAGGCTAGCATTGCCAAAACAAAATGCCAAGCCTCATGACTTAGAGGGTGTCAGATCTCTGCTCCACCACAGCTTAAGTCCACACTGTGAATATACAAGTGTTCAAAACACTTTGGGCTGTAGTTTTGACTTGAAAGAACTAATGACTCAATTATTAATGCTGGGGGGGTTTTTTTCTGATTTACTAATTATCAATTTCCACAATATTGCCTTGCACAAGTACAGTATTACAAAATGCTGCCAATTCTTAGAACCCTTGTGCAGAGTTTCCATGCACTGGGAGAGGAGATATCAGGCAGACATAAGAGGGAGAGGTGCTGCTGCCACCAGCATAATGCTTTTAGGCCCCTGAAGCGCAGTCTTCCAGGCAGGTGATGTAAACAACCAAAATGAGAACCCCATCCCATGAGCCAGTGACTGTGTTGAGGTGCTAAATTCCTCAGGTGTCTCAGTGAATTGGAGCACAAGGTTGCCTGCAATACTTGGAAAGGTGCTGCACCCCAAAACAATTCTCCCAGATCATCCCTCTGTTCCACACTTTATTCCTCACTAGATAATGTCTGGAAGCAAGACTGTGGTCCCAACTCATTTGTCACTGAACTTGGTGTAAAGCTGTCCACACAGGGCATGGGGATGGACTTGCCTGGAAACTTTTTTTGCTGGAGGCATTTGTGCTCAGCTTATGTCAGCAGCATGATGAAATTTCAGGGCCGTATACCATGTTTCTGTGTGAGTGTAGGTGTTGTGTACGTGTGTGCATTTAAATACTGCTTGTCAAAGGATGTTTTTTAGCAGAATTTGCAAGTGCACTGAATGGTCACATTTCTTCTCTCTTCAATACCTTTGTATTTGGACAGGAGTTTTCGGATAATTTTGAATGAAGAAATTGATATCTTGGACTTGAACTTCACGGTAAGACATCCCACGAAGGTACTCAGGCAAGACAGTGTCCCACTGCAAATGACACAACTTGTCTGTAAACTCAGACTAGTGAGAGTGCCATGTCACACCCTTCAGGAGGAATGAGAGATGTAGCAGCACGTATATATCTGTCACATATAGATATAACAGCCAATGTTTTAATTTATTTGCATAGAAAATGGAAGGAGATTCCACGGATGTTGTTGAACTTAAAGAAAATGGTGCTAACATTCCTGTCACTAAGGATAACAGGTCAGTTTTATTTTTATATTTCTTAATCCTGTTGTCTTGTTACAAATGTATGAAATAACATGTCTGTACCCATCCCCATATGCTGTTAGAAAATATTGACTTCTGTATTGTGCCATTGGTCTTGGTCCAATAGGTTACACACTTTCAGTTCTGCTGTACTGGCTGCACACGTGCTAAACACTAGCAGTTTGTGCAAGCAAACTGGGGATCCTTGGATATCCTGGTATCTGCATATACAGATACTTGGCATTAACAAGAAAATTCCTAACAAATGTAAAATATAACCTTGGACAGTATTTTCAGGGAAAACCAGGTGATTTTTCTGGGAAACCCAACTACAGGTACACCTCTGTAAGGGTTTTTTAAGAGCAAAATATTTCCTGCTTAGTTACGTATATGGAATGTATCTTGTACATAAAGGAGAAGGAGCAATCTATCAATAAGGCTTTGTGTCAATATTAATCTCTGCTCAGAGGACAGAGAGAAATTTTGTGTCCTGAACTATGCAGATGACCTGAGGCCCCATGAGGATCCATGAAAGGGCTGTTTAAGAAGCTTGAAGTAGAGCATTTACATTGAGTTGATTGTACAGTATGATGTCACTACACAAATCCCCATCTGAAGTAGAGAGAAGAGCGAAACTATTGATTAGCAGCTGTGCAAATATTTATTTCGATTTCAGGGAAATTCTTGGGCATTCAATGGGAGTTAGGTCTGCTAGGTTCCATCTTTTATAATAATCAGGTGTCTGGCAGGATTTCATTGGAGCATTCACATGACATACAAGGAGTGTTACTAAAATTAATCCATTCTGGCCAGCATTCTCTTTTATTTGTGAAGATGCTCCCAGCTTATTCAGTGAATAACTAATTGCCAGTGACAAGTGGTCTCAGTGAAGACAGAATCTGTACCCCACAGCAGGTCATATTGAATAAAGGAATAAAGTTCTCTATAATTCTCCTTTTAGAAAAGCACCACCAATGCTCGTTTGGTATCTGTTGCAGGAAAGAATATGTTGATTTGTATGTGAATTATATGTTCAATAAATCAGTACAGAAGCCATTTGAGGACTTTATGCAAGGCTTCTTAAGAGGCTGCCCAGCTAGAAATTGGAAGATGTTTTTCCCTGAAGAGCTGCAGGATCTTCTCCAAGGACGCACAATCTTTGACTGGCATCTGCTGGAAAAGGTATTGTATACAAGCACAGTGTCCTTCTGTTCTGTCTGCTAAGCATAAACTACTTCTGACCTGTTCTTTCACTGAGTGCATAACAGGTGGACAGAAGCTCCAAGAGCTTTCTCTTTTTTGATTTGTGTCGATGTTTTGTCTCTAATCTACATCAGCCACAAGAATAAAGGGAATAGGTATCAAGCCATAACTCAGGGATTGTCATATGAATCTTTGAAAAACAAATGAACAAGCAGATTCCAGAGGTTAAGGGGATTTGAATATCTATGAACAGGATTATAAAATTTATCAGATAAAATGTTGCTTTAAATATAAATGGAAATATTGAGGATTAACTGGCCTGTTTTATTTTTGTCTCTTTGACAGAATGTCAAATACGTACACTATGAGAAGTCAGATCAAACCATCAGGAATTTTTGGACTGTGTTTCACAAGCTACCAGAAGAAAAAAAGAAACTGTTTCTTGGTAATTTATCAGGCATTTAAAACTTTGCATAGCCCTTTTCTTTCCCCCACAACACACATACTATATACTATACTGTACTATAGTTCCAAACTGTAGCTTTTCAACGTGTTCACCCCTGATGCTGCTGCTGCCACATTTTCTAGGGAAAACCACAAAAAAATAACACAAGGAGTTGCATAGGTTCAGCTCTGACCCTCCTCACATCCCCTGAGGTTTGCCTGAGTGCACCCTGAAGCTTGCAGTTACTTTATCCCTTAATTTTGTGGTTGTGTTGTTGGTCAGAGGCTGCAGTTTGTGAGAGTACACTGTGTTGATGTAAGCAGTATACCTTTTTCAAAGGGTTGCAGAAGCTAGGTCATCCT